TGGAGATCGTTTGGCTTTAAAATTCACTGAATATGATAAATCAGATCAAACTGTCGATTGACTGATAATCTGTAAATCAAGTAATAGTTTCAGCTCTATTAAGTTCTGTTATTAACTACTGATATCAGAGAAATCTCATATCCCAAACTAGGAAACTTTATATCCAGATAAATAAATAGATTTTATAAAATGAGCACATGAAAAGGGCCTATTTCTTCTTACATATTGAATTATATTCTCAAGTGTTTCTTAAATGTAAGCTGCAGCTGAGCAGCGTTATCATGAAGTCTGTTTGATACAGGCGCCAAAGAAACGTCACGTCATCAATTTAGATTTGTGATGCACAAATGATCATTCCCACTCTAATTATTAATCATATCTCAATCACGATATCTGTTAAAATAACCACAATATGATGTTTTTATCATATCGTGCAGATTCAATGAGTAATTGTTGCAGCTAACATCAACAGTGCATTCAGTCTGCCTCACAGTAAAAACAGGGCAACCTTTCAGGGTGTTTTTCTGAATGTGTGTGTATCTGATGAAGCGATAGATTAAGCTGTGCAGGTGGTGATGATGTGGCACTAAAGATGGAAACACACAGTTCTCACTTCTGGTTTGACAGGCGTCACTTCCTGAGAGACGACACCGATAATATACGGTTGCAGTTTGCAGTTCAGCTTCAGAAGGGTTGAACTTTACAGAATTAAGGACATGATTCTTTATTTTTCTTATTGTTGTTGATACTAAAACCAACAATGTGTGAGTGTGTCTCTCAGTACTGAGCTCTGAGTCTGTTGGTTCCTGTTGAATCTTTAAAAACTCCTCAGACAGCAGCTCACTGTACTTTTTATCAACAGGAGGAAATAGAGCATTTGTTGGGGACTATTTTCAGCGGCAGATTAATCCACATTTGGAGCTCCAGTGAGTATTTGGGGCAGCAGGACGGTTGTATGTGTGAAAATAAACTACAGTGTGGCTCATTGATGTGCTTTTTAAGGACCACAATGGAGCTCTACAGCACAGAGGAAGAAGATATGTCAATAATAGAAATAATAAGCGCAGTAATACTTTATTATAGATACATTCGTTGTTGGTTTTGGAAGAATTTCTTCATCTAATGCTGCTCTGTGTGTGTCTGTGTGCAGCTAGCCTCCTGGGAGGCGAGTCCCAATGCCATGGCCTCCAGCCACAGCTCCTCCCCAGTGCCTCGTGGAGGCCGAGATGGGATCTATCACAAGGAGCGGGATCCCTCCCCCCCTCGCTGCCGGCCCATCCGGTCCCTGCCCGACGTCTGTCCCAAGGAGCCCACCGGTGGGGACAGCTGCCGTCTTCACTCTTTGTTTGTAGATTTCATCTCAGGGTTGGAACTAAACAGATTTATCCGTCAATTATTAGACTGTTATTATTATTTGAATGTCAGGAAAGTTTCCCAGAGCCCCGAGCTGATGCCTTACATGTTTCTTTGCGTCCCTCAAACGGTCCAAAGACATTCAGATTACAATGATGTCAAACAAAAATGAGCAAATGTTTAAATTTAAGAAGTTGGAACCAGGATATATTTGGCATTTTTGCCTGTTGAATAAATTAAAGTGACTCCAGTAAGAGGTGAGCAAGTGATCGAGGTCAGCTCAACTGTGATTGGTGCACAGAGCAAAAAGGGGCGGGACTTAGAAGCATCAACTGATTATGATTGTCGAGATATTTTCTGTGACTGAGCGTTCTCCTCGTGGTCCTGCAGGTGAGGGGCGTGGCCTGTGTGACGGGCCGTCCGTGGTGGCGGAGCACGACCGGTGGACGGTGTACAGCTCGAAGGTCAACCTCCCCGCCGCGCTGAACGACCCCCGGCTCGCCAAACGGGAGTCCGACTTCTTCACTAAAACATGGGGGCTGGACTTCGCGGAGACGGAGGTGATGCCCTCCTTCTACCTCCCCAACATCACCCGGGAACACTTCGCGCCCTACCTGCAGGAGACGGCTCAGGTAAACTCCCACACTGAAGTATTCAGCTCAGCAGACTCTCTGGTGGTGATGCTCAGTGAAGGAGGGTGTGGTTCTGAAGTTGCTGAACATGTTTAATATCCGTCGTGTTACATTCGGGTTTAGCTCGTTCAGGAATCCGGTTGAAGCAGTTTCTTTTCATTGGCTCGATGCATGCAGCACCCGCATGAGATCTTTGGCTTCAAATCGGACCAACAAACACCTCTGTCGCTCGCCAACGTCACTCAGATCTTCACGCTGCTTCTAACACTTCAACTCTGAGGACCAAATGTTCACCTGCTGCCTGATATACCCCCCGCTGACAGGAGCCCTGAGTGAACATTCGCCACTAGTGACTGCGCCCGTAAAGACAGGCTCCTTTTCATTGAGGGCCTAAAATGATAAGCGAGCTTTAAGGTCCGAGGGAACCAATGAGCAGCCTGACATTAATCAGAAAAGTGCTCATTCAGCAGTTTGTTTTATTCCTCATTCTCTTATAACTCTCTTATATTTGGTTCTGTGTGGCTGTAAAAGGAAATAAACCTGAATGTGGTTTCACTTCCTGGCTGAGGTGTGAAAATGACGTTATATTCTTTAGACTTTGGTACCGGGGGCGACTTCTTATTCTTCCCGTAAGAGCTGGGCAGTTTTCTAGAAACGTAATCGCTGCTTTGTGCTCATTTCCTTCTTCAGAGTTTCAGAATGAAGTTTACAGAAAACAATAAAACAGAAGAACGGCGCTCAAACATTCCTCCGATTGCTTCCTTATTCCTCGAACTGTGGCGTTTGAAAGCTTTCATGTTTTTGTCGTTCAGCGCCGCCTAAAACTCTTAAACCTTTTTGTGTCTGTGTGTGTTTTTTAATCTTTAGAGGGAAAGAATCCACGAACGCTGCAAGACGATCTGTCCCAACAAAGACGACGTGGACGCCGTCTCCAGTATCACCACCAACCACGGTATGAATTATTAAAGAGCTGCTGCAGGACCAAGGTCCATTAAATGACCAGTGAAAGCAACACACAGGAAACACACTGACCTCCCACACTGACCTCCCACACTGACCTCCCACTGTGTTCGACCACAATCTGAACATGTGACCTGAAAGCAACACACCTGATGTCAGATTATTTGTCAATGTAGATTATTTTAAATCTGGACCCTATTTTTTTGGGCTGCCTGACTAAAGATTGTCCTACTCCAGCTCCCAGTTCAGGTACAGACAGCTGATAGCAGCTAGTACAGTTAGCACATGCAGCAGTGCAGAGATAGAACTTTTAGTTTAATCAGAAACAGACGTAATATCACTTTCACTCTCCACCAGACTCCAGAGACAAAAACACTAATTTTAACTCGACAGAAACAAAATAAAACTGTTGGTTTGTCTTTCCAACAACAGTCAGCATTAATTCACTCAGTTTAATGTGAAAATATATATATATATATATACTCTGTAACAAAGTAAAGACAAACCAAGACAGTTTTAGTGAGTTTTATTTTGTTTCTGTCACGTTTTAATGAAGTTATGATGATCAGTTAGGTAAAATTACTGTTTTTTTTTAATGGTCTGATGGTTTCAGGTCGAAAAACACTGGATTAACTCTTTAAACTAAAAGTCAAATACAGATTGATTTAGAAATCAATGATCATTCACACTTAATAAAATAAACTGTATTTCTATTTGTTTAGAGATTTGTTCTGATTTCACACTTCATACCCTTTTAAGAGAGTTTTACGTACAGAAATATCATTATTAGTTTTAATATGATGATATATTAAAACTATTGATTGATTAGATTATGGATGTTCTTTCTTGTTCATTTTATTCCTGTATCTTTGTTTTAATTGTTAGTTTTGTGTAAATCTCTCTGTAACATTGGTTTTGAGAAGCAATATACAAACAAACTTTATTATTAAGGTTATTATAGTATTTTGTAGGTTTACATTTGTTGACTGTAACAATAATTAGCTGAATAACGTGAGGAAATAAGCTCAAATAAAACAGACTATTGGAGTAATAACAAGTTCTTGATCCAGAGTTTCTCTTGTTTCCTACAGATAAATCCAGAGCTGAGCTCGAACAAGTCCCGAAGGTAATACTTCTCCTCTACTTCTACTTTATTCTCTTTTTATTGGATCAGAGTTTGTAGTACTCAGTAACTTTCTTAAACCTTGACTTCCCTTTAAACTTCCCTTTTTACAGTTACTTGATCTCAGTTCACTTCCGTTTTTCTCCCACAGCTGCTCGAGGTTCTCAGCTAACTGTTTGTTTACATATTTTGAATTTGCAGATCTTCATGAAGCCCGAGTTTGCTCTGGAGGACCCCGCCACCTTCAACGCCGTCCTGCCCTGGTCGCACTTCAACAGCGCCGGGGGGAAGAGCAGCAGAGACGGGGCCTCCTCCAAACTGCTGCAGGAGAAGGTGAACTCACTCGTCCACTCGGTCTGCGTTTGGACGTATTTAAGTTCAGTCTCGCTCTACCAACCTGGGAGTCGGGACGCCCACTAGGGGTCGCCAAAGCTTTATAGTGGATCACGAAGCCTTCTTGATTTTAAGGCGTGCTAGAAAACTTAAAAATATACACAGTAGGCCTTTATCTCAGCATTTGGTTCACTTCTGTGAAGAAATGCAAAGTAAATTGTTGAGTAAACTGTATAATAGAACAATGGTTTAACGTCAGCGACAAGAAATAATAAAAATCCATAATACAGACAGAGACTTGTATAAAAAGTTCCCTGAACAGGAAATAATCTGCTCAAAAATTCACCCAGATCTCTGGTTTTACACAAACGTCTTGGGTTCATTGTACAGTTATACAGAATATAATCAGCAGTTGTGTGTCTTCCTCCGTGCAGCTGAGTCACTACCTCGACGTGGTGGAGGTGAGCATCGCCCGGCAGATCTCTCTGCGCTCCGAGGCGTTCTTCCACGCCATGTCGTCGCAGCACGAGCTGCAGGACCGGCTGCAGGAGACGCAGCGGGCCGTCGCCGTCCTACGGGGCCGGACCGCCGCCATCGACCGGGTCATGTGCCAGGGCCCTCTGCAGGCCGTCCGCACCGCCCTGACCCGCAACAACTGCGTGAAGCTGCACAACAAGATGAAGCTGATGGCGGCGGTGCATCAGACGCAGCCCACCGTGCAGCTGCTGCTCTCCACCTCCGAGTTTGTCGGCGCGCTGGAGCTCATCTCCACCACCAAGGAGGTGCTGCAGCAGGAGCTGCAGGGAATCCACAGCTTCAGGTCAGGAGGAGGAGGAGGATTTCTGTTGGACAGTGTAAAACTAAACTTCTGTCTCTGCAAACTGTAACAGAGACACTGTTTGTAAATTTTAAAATGAGCTGATTTCTCTCTCACATTTGGTCGTATGAATAAATCTTTGGCAGCTGTTTTAGATTCAGTCTTAAAGCCTCCAGTTTCAGAGTCCGACCACACTGTGGTAAATACCGACATCACTTCGGAACAAAAACTAGCGAGGTGACAACTTTCATAGATACAGACACAGCAAGCCAGCTAATATTATTGACTTAGTCCAGCAGGAAGAAGCTCAGCTCGCCGTCTGTCTGCAGATGAGAAGTTTGAGTTTTTCTCTTCTTTAATGTGTTTATTTTATTTTGTAATCTCCGTTTATCACAATTCAAACAGACCAAGTACATTAAATCGCAGATGATCATCAAAACATCTCATGTGAGCTTTAAAGCCTCAGTACAGGAAGTCAGAAACCACACAAATCATATCTGTCTCTCTGTCTCTCTGACTCTCTGACTGTCTGTCTGTCTCTCTCTCTCTCTGTCTGCCTGTCTGTCTGTCCCGCAGACATCTGGGCTCCCAGCTGTGTGAGTTGGAGAAGCTGATCGATAAGATGATGGTGGAGGATTTCAGCATGTACGCCCGCAGCGACCTGAACCGCAGCCTGAAGGACGAGCCGCAGGTCCTGGAGAAGGTCTGAACAAACCTCGTTCACCTCGTTCACCTCATTCACACCCGTGTTTGTCAGCTTTTATATGTCCCACAACAACAAAACTTCATTAAACGGTCATTAGGGAATAATATAAATCTGGAGCTTGTCTCCTGATTGTAATGATACAACCAAACAAATGAGGACGTAACACAAAACATAACATAGGAATATTGTATTCAGGGTTCGTATAGTGTCTTCAATGTGTGGAAAATGCTGAATATTAACTGTTTATATATTCAAAGTTACAAAGAATATGCTTGAATTCAAAAATCCTTCCTAGAAAATTTCATAATCTGGAGTTTCATCAACACAATCACTCAGAAATCTTTAAATATTTGAAATGAAAGATCCCTCGATAAGTTGATCCTTTACTCTCACAATGATCAATCATTGAATAATCACATTAATATTACCAGCTGTGACAATATACATCAATTACTGTGAGAATAAACTAATTCTGTAGGTGACAATATACAATATTATCATGTATCTTAATTTATCGTAGTGAATTTCCATTATGGTGATAATCGTCATGACTTTACTTGTAAAAAGCTGTGTATCTCCCCAGCACACAGTTTTATATTGATTACCTGATTTACTTTGAACAAAGGGACAAGAAACAGACAAAGAAAGTTCAACTGGATGTGTGGAAATAATAAATTCCCAAATAAAGCCGCGAGAACCCTGAATGTTCGCTTAATATAAATATATATAATCCAGTCTCTTGATGTGAATCTGTGTGTATTTATCGGTTGCTGTGCCCATCACAGGTCCACAATCCAGACACTGCCTCACAGAAGGTGGGACGCACACACACACACAAACTATGCCTGCTGCTGAAATCGGGGCTCAGTTGTCGCTATGTGGATCAATAATTAATCCGATAATTACAATGGAGATAATAATTGTTTTTAATGTGCGTGGAGCACCAGATGGGCGGAGTTAACCACTGTAGGATGATTCAGATCGTGTTCAGCAGGTTGTCAGCAGCTGAAGAGATTATTATTATTATTATTATTATTATTATTATTCATTATCATCATTATCCATTATCATAAGAATCCATCTGGTCTCCAAGCAGGTTAAACACTGAACTAGAGTCTGACTGATGTTATTGGGCCGATATCGGACTGTATGTTGTCCAACAGGCGCTGATATGAATGCAGGAAAATCAGTGTGTGCGGTCATATATTGATATAAGGTTTATCCAGCAGGGGGCGCTCTGATTTAAAACACTGGCAAACGAGCACAGAGAGAGAGAGGGAGGGAGAGAGAAGCTCTCAGCAACTGGAATTGGTTGACAATTAACATTTAAAGAATATTTAAGTTAAATATTCTTTAATAAAGTCATTCAGACGTCAGTCAGACTCTGCTGTGAAAGAGAATAAATGTGATTCTGAAGAATAATCACATCTGCTCACATCTGATGTCTGGAGTTGGTGGATCGATGCTTCGAATATCAGGATGTCAGGAGGCTTTATAATCACAGAGTGACTCCCACCAATGTTAATCTAAAGTCTTCCTGTAATGAATTACACCTTTTTTTTAATTTAAATATTCGCACGTTTCGCAGTGAAAATCTAAATATGATTAAAAGCAATTAAAGGTTGTTTTTTATGTTTCAAATGGACGAAAACATTCAGAAAATAATTGTGATTTTAAGTTGAATTAATTGATTTTAATGATGTTTTGTTGCCTGTGGAAGAAATCCTAATTTATGTGAATTTATATTGTCTGCAGTTTGATTTGCATTCAGTCTGAACTTCGTCTGTTACCATTGAGGTTTACTTCATGTGATATAATCAATATTTTTTGGTGTGTGTGTGTTTTTAGGAGCGTCTGGAGTCTCTGGTGTTCGGCCTCCTGCGGCAGAGGAAGTTGGACTTTTTGGACATTTACAGCGATGAGATGATTCTGGCTGCGAAGGCCATCGTCACTCAGGTAACAACCGATCGCGTTAAAGCGAACGACGAGTGAAGTCTGTGCTGTTTTACGACATGGCGATCTTAACGGGGCATGTTTGTGTTTGCAGTGTGTAGCAGAAAGTGTTTTGCACATAGAAGAAATTGACACTGAAGTCGTCACTAAGTAAGTAGAAATGTGAACGTAGTTTGGTTTCATGCTGGTTGTGTTTGATGTTTGTGGCGGCCATGTCTCCCCTCTGGCAGGAGGCTGCGGTCCATCAGGACCAAAACCTCTCGCAGCCTCATCAACGAGGCCCGGACCCCCCACTGTCACTGACTCTTACACCCACCCTGTATATATGCATTACATTAATGCACTCCCATCTTCTGTACAGTTTTCTTATCTTTTCTTAGCTTTCTTATCTTTATCTATATTTTTTAAAAAGTATTTCACTCTTGTATATTTTTGTGTGATTTTATATATTTTTTTTGTGCGATTGTACATTTTAAGCACCATTGCACCAAGACAAATTCCTCGTATGTGTAAAAACCTACCTGGCAATAAACCCCATTCTGATTCTGATGTTGTTTCTCCTGCGATGAGCGCTATCGTCAGGGAAGACTGTGTATTTGAAGTTTAGAGACTAGTTTTCCAATCACGGAAACACCTGAAAATTGGTTTAAATGACCAAATATACCTGGAAATAAACTATTTTGTCCTGGAAAATTTTACTTTTATTTTAGCCCCTCACTCAGATTACATAAACCTCAGTGTTGAACATAAAACTTTTGAAAGGTTTTTACCAGATGCAAAGCAGAACAGAGACTTTCTACTTCTTATTTTAACAGGCTAAGAGTTAGTTTATTATCTGTAACGTGAAACAAATTCTACTTAATGTGAACTGGAACTTGTGGCCAAAGTCCTGTTACAGTTACAGCTGCATCAGTGTGTCAGTATGAACCCTAACCCTGGAAAATGATTTATTAAAAAGAGTGGGAACTCTGAACTTTATACGATCTTAACAGTTAATACTTTATAACACAACAATTAATAACCCACAGCTCACTCTCTCTAACAGGAAGGTTTAGAAGAAGTTAATTTCCTCCCATTGTTTTTATACAACTAGTTTAAGATATTTGTTTTTTTAAAGGAAGCAGTGTTTGTTCTACGTTACAGTTGCAGTCAAACCTTCAGTGTAACATACTTGTACACCCTGTGCCCAGAACTACACACAGTGTTGATAACATTGTGTACAATGTGTGTTTGTCTGAAGGCTAGCTGACCAGATGCGTGTGATGACGTTTCCTCAGTGGTTTGAGCTGCTGAAAAACGTCTTCGAGAGTTTCCTCCTCTTCCTGCAGAGGATCAAGGTGAGTCAGAGTTAGTGGTCGATCGTTAGAGAGCAGAGTGACTGATGGCTGATGTATAACACTGTCTGTCTCTCTGTCTGTCTGTCTCTCTGTCTCAGGCCACTCTTAACGTGATCAAAAATGTGGTTCTGGAGGTTCTGGCTTCGAACCAGAAGAACCGGCTCCTGGAGGAGGCCGGTGCGAGGGCTTTAGACGCGGAGGCTTCCCATGGCCCGTCGGTCCTGCAGGGGGAGGCCGAGCTGGCCTACCTCACCCACGAGGGGCTGTTCATCAGCGACGCTCTGAACGAGGCCCAGCAGCAGCAGCAGCAGCAGCAGCAGCAGCAGGTCCAGGATCAGAGCTCTGTGATGGGCTCCAGGATCCAGCAGAGCCGGGCGGAGGCTGCCAGCAGCGACTCTACCTGTGGGACCTCAGAGACCTCCTTCAGCAGGGAGCAGAGCTTCATGTATGTCACTGAAGACAATGATAAATAATAATAACTTTTATATATCACTTTTTGCTGCTCTAGAAACATCTACTTTTATTTAAAATATTAAAACATTATCCAGTTCTGAATTTGAAGACAATCAAGATTCAGAGTGTTTAACACGAGAAAATAAAAGTCTTAATGACATTTTAAAAGAAATAATAATAGTCAATAATTTAAGATTTAATAAATAATAATAAAGAGAGTGTTTTTGTTCTTCAGGTCCGGTGAGAACATGATGCCCTCTGAGCTGGAGCTGAACCGTGTGATCAATAACATCCAGGAGCTGCTGTACTCCGCCTCCGACGTCAGCCACGACCGCTGCGTCAAAGTCCTCACAGCCAGAGCCAAGGTACGAGACCGCCATCAACGAGGAGCTCGTCACAGGATGTGTGTGAACGTATGAAAGGCACAAAGGGCGCTACAGCCCACCAGACTCCACCGACAAAACCAGTACTTTTACACCACAGAGAATTAGAGAAGAGTCAGACTGGACATAAACAAAATACAGCTCATTAAAACGGACTCTACAATGTGTATACATCACTGTGTATAAGTGAAGTTAAACCACAGAGTCTCTCGTGATGCTTCAGTAGTTTGTTGATGAAGAGGAGGAATTAACCTCGTGTGTCGTCTCCGTCTCCCACAGGACGGCTCTCTGGAGCGCCTGAGCTCGGCGGAGTTCGTGTGTCTCTCTCAGGCGGTGGAGGGTTTCGTCAGGGACACCGAGGAGCTGTGCGGCCGGCGCAGCGTCTCCCTGAGGGGGGCGCTGCAGAGCCAGGCCAACCGCTTCGTCCACCGCTTCCACGAAGAACGCAAGACCAAGCTCAGGTCAGCCGTTAGTACAGCTGGTTCACCTCGATGGTTTTTAACATTCTTCCAGTTAAAATATCGAGGGAGACGTGTCTGAGACTTCTTCATCGGTGTCTGATTGTGTTAAACATGAACACAGATGCAGTTTATAAGTCTTCAGTCTCTGTGTCGTTGTGTTGTTAACTCCACGCTGTTTGTCCCTGCAGCCTCCTCCTGGACAACGAGCGCTGGAAGCAGGCCGAGGTTCCTGCTGAGTTTCAGGATCTGGTGAACTCCATCGCTGACGGAAGAATATCACTACCAGAGCGCAAAATCCCAGGTACCCAAAATACCCTGCACACACTTTTTAATACATCAATGCACAGGAAGAAGTCGACCTTTAATCAGTCTTAAGAGCATTGTTAATGTGTCTGAGAGTTAAAGACTCGTTGTTCTTGCAGGTCCAGAGGACAGGAAGCCCACTGACTTTCTGCTCATCAACGGACAGAAATACGCCGTCGTCGGGTACGTTTGAAATCAAATCTTCACGTTTCTTTCTACGACATTAAATTCGTCAGTAAATACCCCCACCTGTGTTTCTGAAGTGTGTGTTCATACTCCTGCAAACTGTTTGAACTCAGACTTCTACTTCTTAACTTTGCTTCTACAAAAACAACTCTGTTTCTGAAGGTTGACAATCAGCTTTGGTTCGTGTCATTCTGCATATCAAACCTCAGTTCTCTTTTGGCTCTGACCCAAATGTGTCTGTAGCTCCGGCTGCCAAAAACTGCCAAATACTAGAAGTACGAGTCAATTACAAACACAGTTACAGTTTTATATTGTTTTTTTAGACTCTATTGGTTTTGCAGAGACGCACATTAATGTTTAATTCTGCCATTATACTGTATACTGTTCTTCATTGAGTGTGTTCTCTTTGTTCAGGACGGTTCTGCTGCTGATCCGGATCTTTCTGGAATACTGTCAGTGTGTCAACGACATCCCATCCATCGCCACCGACATGCTGACGCGTCTGTCGGACCTCCTCAAGGTCGGAGCCACAAACACCGAACTACACTCACATAGAGCAGTGTAATGTAGAGACACAATCTGGTGTCACACACATCATTCGGACTTTAAGGTTTACCGTTCACTGTCGTGTCTCTGCAGCACTTCAACTCTCGGAGCTGCCAGCTGGTTCTGGGAGCCGGAGCGCTGCAGGTCGTCGGCCTCAAGACCATCACCACCAAAAACCTCGGTACGACCGGCAGGAGCTCGCAGACAGACAGTCGGAGCTTTTAATGCTTCAGTTCGATGCTTTTGTTACTCAGCCATTGTTGACTGTTGTGTGTGTGTGTGTGTGTGTGTGTGTGTGTGTGTGTGTGTGTGTGTCTGTGTAGCATTAGCTTCCCGCTGCCTGCAGCTGGTGGTTCACTACATTCCCGTCATCAGAGCTCATTTTGAGGCCAAACTGCAGCCCAAACAGTTCAGCGTCCTCAGACACTTCGACCACATCACCAAGGTAACGCAGTGGGTCCCAACCCGGGGGTCAGGGCCCCACTGGGGGGCGCCAAAGCTTAAAAGATATACACAGTAGGCCTTTAGCTCTACATTTCATTGTTTTCTGAGAAGAAAAGTAAATAAATAAGTGTTATTTTTAAAGTTTAGATAATTTTTTAAGACACTTTAGATAAAGAACTAATAGAACAATGAGAAGGAAACACTGAATTTGTCAAGAAACAACATTAAATAATATTAAATATCCATAAAATATGTTCCATCAATGATAGGAAAGGTATGTAAAGGGTTCTATATACAAACATCTGCACATAACAGTGTCAAACCACATTTATATGAAGAATTCTGTCCCCGATCATCAGAATCTGATCATTCATTTCCCACTTTAAACTCCTTTTTTGGTGAAACTGTAACTGTAATCTTGTGTTTGTGGCTTTGCAGGACTACAACGACCACATAGCAGAGATATCTGCCAAGCTGGTGGCCATCATGGACAGCCTGTTCGAGAAGGTGTTATCAAAGGTCAGAACTTTTATTCTGCGTAACCAACCGGTGAGCGGTGGCGGTCGGTGTGTCCGATAAAGCTTAAAGCCTCTGTTGTCTTCCTCAGTACGAAGTGAAGGCGCCGATGCCGTCGCCCTGCTTCAGGAACGTCTGCAAGCAGATGGCGAAGATGCACGAAGCCATTTCAGAGCTTCTACCTGAGGAACAGACGCAGGTGAGTCGACTCGCTCTGCGTTTATCAAACGTGTCTGTGAGCTCTCTCTCTCTCTCTCTCTCTCTCTCTCTCTCTCTCTCTCTCTCTCGCGCTCACTCACTCGGTTCATTCTTCCTCCACAGATGTTGTTTCTGAGGATCAACGCCGGTTTTAAGATGCACCTGAAGAGGCAGCTCGCCCGGCTCGGGGTTGTTAATGACGGAGGACCGCAGAACGGGTAACTATGGCACGCACACAGTAACCAGGGTAACCACGCAATCCTGGAAACACCTGGAAATCTAGACACAAAATGACCAAAAGTCCTGGAAATCATCTGTGTTGTCCTGGAATTTCTTTGTACTTTAGCTCCTCACTCGGATTACGTAAACTCAGTGATTTTGTTACAGGTTTAGCAGATAATAATATTCGTATCTACATCAGGGTTCCCACTCGTCCTGGAAAACCTGGAAAACCTGGGAATGTAGAGAATAGTCAGATTGTCATGGAAACAGCTGCAAATAGATTAAAACTGACTGACTAAAATTATTATCCAGGATATTTTCCAGGATATTTTCTAGCTCACAAGTGTAATCAGTGTTGGCTGTTCTCACCACGGCTCATTTTTCCATCTCTGAGGACTTCATACGTCCCACAAAATACAGATGGTCGTGGAACTACATTTACTCAAGTACAAACACGTTTTATTAAGTCTGGATCATAAATAATAAAATAATATTAATGTGTGTTGGGGTGACCGTCTGCAGCGATTCCAAAATAGATTTGACGGGAAAAGTTTGCTGCAAGTGGTGAACAGCTCTTCAATGACCTGGAAGCACGCAGTTTATCCTACAGACACCCAAACAACAACAACAACGTTAATTTACGGGATATTTGGTCATTTTGATCAATTTCCAGGTGTTTCCAGGATGAGAGTGATGTTAATTGTACCTGTGATGAAACACTGTTCTGTAAGATGAAATTAATTCTGTTACTGACGGGTTGCGGCCAGAATTTAATGTCGTCAATCTGCCCGAAACCGCAGTTTTTACGACCGTTAGTGAGCGAGTGGCGTCGTGGATTATCAAGAGAAACTAACTAGAAAAGTAGACAAGATAAATTCCCACACTCTTGACTACTTTTGGACTCTTACACACCTGCCTCTGCAGTGAAGTCTGTTTTGAGGATGAGTTAAAGGGAGCGGGTTAATGACGCAGCGTTTCTGTCTGCAGGCTCGTGGTCGTGGACGTCGCCTTCTACACGGAGAACATTCAGGCGCTGAGGAGCCTGGAGCGGCTCGACCTGAACATGGCCGAGATCTGGGAGCAGAAGAGGTGATGGAGGACGGCGACTGGACGTCCAGGACCGACCGACCCGCCGACTGTGGGCCGACCTCGCAGCAGGGGGAGGAGCCTGGCTGAAGGCTGGAGGAGGCTGCGGAGGGACCAAACATACACTGGAAGAAGAGAGGCAGCAACACGCTGGAGCTTCCTGATCAGCTCCACCTTAAGAGACTAAAACACACAGAGCCTCCTTAAGAACTGCAGCTGCCTCCTCTCACTGTGTGCAATCCAGCAGGTTAAATTATTACAGACGCTTTTAACGAAGGGTGTGGATAATGTTTAAGAGGGTAATTTATTTTTCTCTGTACACTGCGACGGGGCCGAAGGGATTTTTATCACCTGACTGAAACCGAACTTTTCTGTCGCTGGTTTTGACTTTTTTGCTAAAAAAAAAACAGCCGAGGATTCAGGATTCGCTCTGGAAATCATATTTTTCTCCTTCGTGCTCTGAAAGAATCAACGTGTGTGTGTTGGGGGGGCCGCGTTCATCAGCTGGGTGTTTTTTTTCTGGGTTTTAATCGCGGTGAAACGGCTGATAATTGATTCTTTTTATACACTAAACAAGATGATTCTCCAGACCCAGAGGAACACTAATGAAGCTGATCGTTAAAGAGTCATTGAAGAGTTGATTTCCTGTTCGGGCTCAGCTACATCCTGTCGTTACCAAAGTAAAAGAGTTTCTAATGTTTGGAAATAAACTCTCCGGTGGCAGTTTTCCTTTAAACAATCCAACCGCGCATTAAGCTGAGCGATACTCGGCCGTAGTGGCGATCCACAGACGAAGGTGATGTTGTTGTTTTTTTTATACGTGTAGTTGATTGATGAAAGCATGAAGACTCAAACTACTGTTCTCCCTCCTGCTGTAGTTTCATTTAATCTGCATGAGCTTTCCGTTTCCTGCGAGGACGACACGACGCGGAACAGAAAATCTGATTTATCGTTTGATTTAAATCTTTAAAAATGACACAAACTCTCC